GTTCTTCCCACCGTTTATATTCGAACTTATTTTGTGCCCACTCTTTATTTATTTATTTATATATACAAAAGTTGGATTCTTATAGAAATAAAATGATATTCACAGCTTATGTTTAGCTTAGATAAACAGAGTATAATAACAGAGAGAAAATAAAACAAAAAAAAATTTACATGATATAACACAGTTGATAAATTCCTAGAGGCGAAACAAAGGTGCCGCGACTAAGGACAACTTATCACGGTAATAACAAAGATTGCCGCTCCCTGGATAGCTATTTGCCGTACGGTCCTTTTTCGTATTTTTCAACTAATCCCTGGTAAATAGCAGAAACTACAAGCTCAACGCTGCACGCTGACTTTGTTATTTACTCAAACACACAATTTATGAGGGGATAAATAACAACAGCCCGAACATATTATTGACTGATCTCCTTCCTCAGTGTTTCATACCACATGCTTCGTGTACCTGCTTCTGTCGTTTCGTTATTTTATTATACTATTAAACAATATATTATGGCACATGTTCTTATGCTTTACACTCTTCGTGTACCTGCTTCTGTCGTTTCGTTATTTTATTATACTATTAAACAATATATTATGTTCTTTAAAATATGTCTATTGATGTTCAGGTTTTCTTTATTTTGTAAATTGTCTCTATATTCTCTTTTTACTCTGTATCAGCGTTATTACATACTAGCAGGAATACCCGTCCGTTGAACGGCTGAAATAAAAACTCGTTTATAATAAAGGATAGGAAATTGTGCTTCTATTTTTTCTCCTTAACGTAATACATATTAAAAGTGCAATAAAAATACTTAACGGTGCCAATACTGAAAAGAAAGACACACTGTTGTGAAGAGTTCTATTGGTATGAAATTAGATGGGGGGGTCCAGCCCCCCTCATGACCTTTCTCATGTCATTCTGTATCACTGTGTCCAGTTGTGCTGATTTGGTAATTTTTCCGAAATTAGATAGGGGTCCAACCCCCAACCCCACCCCCTTTCATGACCTTCCTCATGTCACCCTGTATTGTCCCCCGGTGGGACAGTGATAAGTCTTTGGATTTACAACGCTAAAATCAGGAGATCGATTCCCCTCGGAGGACACAGCAGATAACTCTATGTGGCTTTGCTATATAAAACATACACATCCAGTGTCACTGTGTCAAGTCTGATGCTGATTGATTAAGAAATGTATAAACGTCTAAGGAACAGATATGAAATGATAGATACACGACCGTGCATGTTTTTCCTGGATATACATTTTGCTTTATATAGTATATAAAAATGTTACTATTTTTATCAGTTTCTACTTAATTTAACCTTTTTATTTAACAACACAAGTTCGTCTCTAGATTTTTCCATCCTCTCTTTGATACTTGTTTCTTTTCTATTTCTGATTGCATTTACGACAGGCAGGGTTTTACATTTTCAATTTTTGTTCTTCCAGTTTTTCTATATGGATTCTCTCTAATAATCTTTATTTTAATTTTTTTTCTGTCTCTCGCTTTGAAATGTTTACTTCAGTTACGCTTCTTTATTGGCCTTTTCCAACAAAATCATCTACCTAGCTCCTATACTCCTTCGCTAGCTCTCTCTCTCTCTTTCAACACAAACTTTCTCTCTCTCTTCATATAAACCTCTGCTCTTTTTTCTCCTTTTCTGTAGACAAAGTTATATCGTCTCTATTGGTCTTTCTATCTATAAACAAACCCACTATCTCACTTTCCTTCTCTGTTTCCACAAACGCTGTTAATTTCTTTGTCTCGCACAAGTCTTTATCACCTCTCTTCTTACATAAACCTTTATCTTCATTCTGTCATTAATATTTATTATTTCCGTGTTTGGTGTAAATTAAACATTTTAAAAAGTAATTCGTAAGCGAAAACTTTTAATTTCCCACCATAACTTTCTACGAACAATGACTCCAATTACATGTCCTGGGACGCTCGTCAAAATTGTTTGAATTCAGATAGATATTATCAGGGCAGGAACACATTATACGTCTTGGCAAAGCAACCACGATACTTTCGTAACAGAATCAAAGTTAGTGCTGCACAATTAGAACACAAACATCCGAACCACTTCCCTGCTTTCAGCCCTCTAATTACGTTGCAGACAAACCCAAGAAACGTTTCAAACAAAATGAGGACAATGACAGGTTTAACAGAAGATCCTGAACACCGACCTCTGTTTACCGAGTTGCCAAGTTTGCCCGGACGCCAGTGAAATTAGTGGCTACTGCCAACAACAAAAACAACAACAAAAAAACTCCCCACGTTAAGTACTGATATTCAGCAGAGCATTCATTTTAAGCTCGTAAAAGTAACATTGTTTGTTTTTCTATAGCTAACGTACAATCGAATATGCACTTTAAATGTGTTTGTTTTAAGCGCAAAGCTGCACAGTGGGATGTTTACACTGTTCCCACCGCGGGGATCGAACCACGAATCTTAGTGCTATAAGCTCTCGAGCAACAACCCCTCTACAATTGTAGCACTACTTGAACCAAACATTGGTTACAAGAATACTCACATCCTTATTTCAAGATGATGTAGTTTACAAGTATCCGTGTAAGCTATCTTTTAGGGTTTTCAATCCTTTATTTATTTTTTTTTTCCATCTCAACAAACATGAATTGTCGGATAGCTAATTTTATACTTAAGTATTCGATCATAGGAATTCCGTGTTTGATTTGTTATTCAAAACTAATCTTTATATTGTGTAAGTTTGGCAATTATGTTATTCTCTGGTTTAAAAAAAGACAAAAAAACTAGTGATTTTTTAGTCACCAATTTTTGTCGAATGAACAAAATTCTATTGCTGCTGGCTATAGACACGAGTTCTCTTATATTCTTTAATCACTATTACAAACGCCAAAGAGAGTCTGGCTAGTGATAGAATCTTACCTGCCCGGGGCAAAATATAAACATAAAATTTAGTCGGTGATTTTCTTTAAGATCGAAAAACATTCATTATAAGTCGTTTTGAGAACAACAAAGCAACAGTCGTGTAGGTTGTCTACTCATGATACAGGCACTTTGCACAAAGAGGATGAACGTGGCTGACATCTGCCGGTAGGAAATGTAATAAAATTAAGAAAAACTTGTACTTACTGCTTCAGTCACGTTGTTCAAACCATTTATATTGTTCACATATACAGAAGCGTAGAGTATTGTTTGCTGAAAACAATTCATGCTAGTTGGAGGATCAGGTTGAAAAAAAAAAGGACTTCAAAGAAGAGCCGATTACCACTCTCCTACCCCTACATCCGTGTTCTGTATAGTTAGTTTTACCTTTGATTTGTGTGACGTGACCCTGAACCGAGGTATCATTAAGGCGTTAAAGTATTCATGGCGCCGCTCAGCTCCGAACGGTGTGGTAACAAGAGACCAGAAATGTGCGACGTTGAAGCGAACTGCTGCACGGTCGCCCTGAGGCAAGTGGTTCACTGTTATCGAACAACGTTACGGACGACCACTTTATAAGCCCCATCGATGACTCCAGTGTTAGACGTAATTATAAGAACTTATGAGTGAAGTACATCAAGGTGATGTAAAATAGGTTTAATTACCCACTACATCATGTGAAACCAAACACACACACTCACGAAAACGTAATCAGCATTAGAGAGTTTGAACAATAAATTGTTAGTTTCTCTCTAGTCTGTTTTAAACTAGTCTTTAACAATACAGAAGATTTCGGAAAAGGTCGTTTCTTTATACTTTAGACCCTAATAGAACCATGGTATAGAAGAGAATGATTTTCGAGTATTTTAGCCATTTAAATGACCTATAAAACGGATTCACAGGATTTTTAAATTAAAAAGTAGTAAGAGTTCCAAAATTCTTGTGTGATATGTTTAAAAATCACTTTCTTATTTGTTGATTTAATTTACTGGAAAATGATTAAGAAATCTTTTAGATTTATATAATTCTCTTCAAGTTATTCACTAGAATAAGGTGAGATACTCAATGAAACGCCTTCAGGAGTGGTAGACAAAAAACATCAGGGGTCTTTTCCGTTTGGGGCTCACCAACAGATCGTTTTGAAAATAACACCAGTAACACAATAGAATAAAATAATTAGTAATAAAACATTATATGATATTTATTTAGCGAATTGAGCTATATTAGATAATTGTTTTGATAAATCTTCGTCTTTATTTCTATTTTTCCTTATAAATTCACAAAGATAATAAGAGTCAAGCATTATGTGATGAGTTCCACATTGACGCTTACTTCTTCGCTTTAAACTGTGTCACATACTTTCAATATTTTGGGTATGGCAGCAAGTTTCAGGATCTATAAAAATTTCACTGTGATTTACAGTTTCATGCTGGTCAAAATAACCTTCCACGTTCGGGATATATGCTTTGCACGGAAAAGATAATTTTTCTACTGTTGGTGGTCACCAAACGGAAAAGATCCAACATCAGAAATACTACTTTCTTACACACGTCTGATTTGAAATCTGTTATAGAAAATTTTCAAGGTATATCGAAAAATAAGATAAAAAAAAGAATGAAAAAAAAACAACTCCAGACTAATGTAACTTGAAATATTTACGGAAAAAACTCCAGACTACTGTAACTTGAAATATTTACGGAAAAAACTCCAGACTACTGTAACTTGAAATATTTACGGAAAAAAACTCCAGACTACTGTAACTTGAAATATTTACGGAAAAAAACTCCAGACTACTGTAACTTGAAATATTTACGGAAAAAAACTCCAGACTAATGTAACTTGAAATATTTACGGAAAAAAACTCCAGACTAATGTAACTTGAAATATTTACGGAAAAAACTCCAGACTAATGTAACTTGAAATATTTACGGAAAAAACTCCAGACTAATGTAACTTGTATCACGAATATTTGGTCTATTGGTTTTGAATGCTTCACCAACTTTCGATGTTGAAAGCTGTGACGAATGAAGAATGTTTAAACGAAAAGAAAAACATGTTCCTGTTCTAGAGTTTCTTTTTGAGCAACTCAAATGAAATCTCGCCAAGTTATTAAATTTTTTACATCTTGTTGCTACACATTAAAAAATACAGAAGGTGCCAACTAATGAAGTTTTTGTTAATTTATCACAATTCTAACCCAATACCCCCCCCCCCTCTACCCATTGCTCAGCGATAAGTCTGCAATCTTACAACGCTAAAAATTGGGTTTCGACACTCATGTCGGGCAAAACATAGATACCCCATTGTGTAACTTTGTGCTCAACGACAACCAAAACCATTGCAAAATTAAGATGAATATATAGTACTGCCCATAGGATTGTTCCTATGTTATGTCGCAGCTTTTAATTAATGAATAAGCTTTTGTTTCAGTATTTGAGTTATTTTTTATATCTTCATATACGTCTTAAGTTGCCATTTCAAAGTGAATATTACTTCAACATGGTATTCTGTGTAGTTTTGGAACAAGTTTTTAATAGAAATAAACCCACCTTTCATTCGTCAAAAATATAAACCTTAATCTCCCATTTTCAGCTCTTTGGGGGGTTCCACACTTTAGAACCGTGAGTGCGTTATAAGAGTAACGATCAAATTTTACTATTCGATTAGAGTATCCCAAGACTTTGCGGTGGATACTGTTAACTTCCCTCTAGTCTATAAGTCAAAAAATAAGGTGATAAAAA